CGGGCCTAAGCCAGCAGGTGGTCATCCCCCGAGGGGTCCCAGACTGCGAGAGTGCACAGGCCAGGCTGAGGGACCCCCCGAGTGCACAAATTTTTGTGCACCGGGCCTCTAGTTCAATATACTGAATATAGATAGATAGATAGATAGATAGATAGATAGATAGATAGATGATAGATAGATAAAGATGCCACGAGCCACTTAAAGGACCTGATACCCTCTTACCCTGTTTATCATAAAATTGAGCAAAAGATTAAATTTTATTGTACTAAGAAATATCACTTGCTCGGTAAGATTACCACTTTTGTTATCTTTTTGAAGTGCAAATTAGATATTATGGCATTCCTATTTAAATTCTTTCAATGACTTCCCCTAGCTCTTCTGGAGGACACATTCTTCTTAGTAAGGCCTTCAAGGCAACACAACCTGGCAGGGCTGCCTGCATTACCAGCCTCTGATACTTTGCCCTGGTTACTGTCTAGTCTCCTTAAGTTCTCCAGTTGCACCAAGCTTATTGCCACTTCAAAGCCTCTGTACATATTCTCTTCTTTCTCTCCTTTCTGAACGCCACCTCTCTTTGCTTAGCCAGAGTTCAGAGTTTAGTATAAGCATCCTTCCTCAGGTACACACCTCTTGCTTCCTCTGATAGTTAGATAACCAAGCACTCATTTATTTTAACATCTGGCTCCCCCATCTGTGAGATAAGGGCTCAGTCTCTCCCCAGGGCCTGCCTAACACAGGGCCTTCCTAACACAGGGCCTTGTACTGAATAAGTACATAAGTGGATATCAAGGAGTCAGAAATCCTATTTTTATTCTGTTGAAGGATATCCTTAACTTCTTCAGCAAAAGACTTTCTCCCTCTTTAAAGTCTTTAAAATACTCTTAAACACAATAGAACGCTCTAAAAGGACTGTTGTATCTTCTCTTTTGCAAGGCCTTTCCAGATAGAGATGAATTCTTTGTTAAACAATAAGAATTTCTTACAAACTTTTTGAGTGCTGAACTCTCAAGAAAAAAATGTCATCATATTCACATTCCACTTTAGAGATGACATTTTGAGACATCTGATGAGCTAATAATTGATCCCGAGTGTCTTACAGAGGTTTTCTGAAGAAAGTCTAACAAAGTAATTTTAAGAGTAGAGATTTCATTAGGAAAAATAGCCGTGTGTGGAGACATTTGAGGCGCAGGCAGGCTAAAGTCTTGGAGTACCTGTTGACACCTCACTCAGCTGGCCAGCTTTGCTTTACATGTAGGGCTACCTGGAGATCTGTAAAACCTCATTATATAGGGAAGAATATTAAGCTCAGAGAGGTTCAGCAAGTTGCTCAAAGTCTCACAGCGAATGCATAATGTTGGGACTAAAATTGTAGATCCCTTTGATTTCATGGTTTTCATGTTATTTCTAAAAACTCAGTATCTGCAGAGGTGCCTCAGGAGCCAACTTCTAGAGTGGATGAGGAAGCCTAGCCCCACCCCTAGCTCAAAGGGACCAGCCAATTCCATCTGGAATTCTAAGGAATGTTTTCAATCTCTCCAATAAAGTTTTCTAGAAAAATTTTATATATTTAGTTGTACCTATATTGGGTGCATAAATGTTTACCAGGGTTATATCTCTTGTTGGATCAATCCCTTTAGTATTATGTAGTGACCTTTATGTATGAGTGATTTTTTTCTACTATGACTTCTAATTCACTGATCTGACCCTCAGCTTCTCCTAATGTGCTGTGTATTCCTTCCACTGTGTTCTTTATTAGTGCTACATCATTCTTCATAGTTACTATAACCGTACAGTAAAGCAAGTTTAATATTTGTGTTTACTTTTTATGCTTTTGTCATGTGACTTCTGGCTACTTGCAAGGAGGAAAATCAAATTCCATCTAACCTTTTTCAGTCATGTTTCCTTCTTCCTGCTTTTTCACCTCCTCTTCCATTACCTTCACCTTGGCATCATATTCATCAGCCAGAGATTTCCACTCCATTCTGTTATTCTGAAGGCCATTCAGCATGGGGGTGACTTCTTGGTGAAACCGGGAGAACTCCTACAGAGAATTCCAGGTCAAAAACTACTTAAATTGTGTGGTTAATATTCAGTACTTTGCATATGCAGAAGAGCTGTAAGCAAATGTTCCGGTGTTCAGCGCTGCTAGGTCGCATTTAACTCAGTGCCCTGGGAACGGAGACAGGGGCTTCCTTTCCTGCCTGCCTGAGTCAACTTGTTCTCACCTGAGTTCTTTCTCCTTCACTCCTGAATGAGAGATTAGGATAATACCGCAAACTACCTTGGAGAAATAAGGACACCACTAATGCCTTTTCATGTGGGGTCTTTTTGAATTTGGTTAACAGTGTGAAAGCAAGATTCTCATCCAGATGATTATGTATTTCACCCAAATAATTTGTTTACTTACCTTATATACAAAAGTACAAACAAAATCAATAAATCCAACTTGAAGTTTAGGCAGTTCATCTTTTTTGTTTCTGTCCATCATAGGCTAGAAAGAAAAATAAACCCTTTAAAGATAGTTTTCTAAGGTTCAGCAAACAAAATAGACTGATTTGTATCGATATTTTTAAATAAATAGTGTGTTTTTTATGTCACGGTCTTTACAATAGGTTGTTGCTGCAGCACTGTTCTCTCCAGATCTCCTTGTTCCCAAAATTCACTTGCAACTAGAAGTGCTACCTGCAAATAAGAAAGACTTGGTTCATGAAAGCAACTTATTAATAGAGAATCTGCGTTGTTTTAGTATGAATGACATTTAAGACAGGGTTTATCGTTACTGTTTAAAGTACCTCTGAGCATATTGTCATACTGCATGCTCTTTGGTTTTAAAAAGATGACATTTACAGATCGCATGGAAATTGGAAAGGAGAATTTCTCTTCTTACCAGTGTTCCAAACTCATTCTGGGAGTGCCTACCTCCTAGTTGCTATTGCCACCATCTCTCAACAGTAAAAAAGGGAAATGGGAAGATATTTAATTCCATTATATTATGCTTCAAGCTCTGGGACCTCCCAAGTCCTTCTGTCCTGCTTCTATTAGCATCTAGCATCTATCTGCATGTGTGATGCACGCCACACTCACACATGCACACAAAGGCTAGAACACAGCTTTACTTGATTAAAGTGTGCAGATATTTGAGGGTTTATTTATATCCTTTTAAAAAACCCAATATCAAATTTATTGAACACTTACTAGCTACTAGCCGCCTTATATTGGCATGAGCCAGGCTTGCCAAGAGGAATGAGATGTGACATTTTTCTTTAAGATGCTCACAGTCTAGTGAAGGCAGTCATGCACTAGTATACAGTGTGGTAAGTGCTATAACAGTAATAGTATGAATGTTATGGAACAAGGAGAATGGAGTAAATTTAAGTTTAATAAAGGGGGGAGGTTGTGCACTGAAGAAGGGATTGTAGGAAAGAGAAAAGCACTAATGATTCGTCCTCGTGCTGATTTATCACACAATCCCTGAATAACTGTACGTAAACTTTTTATTGCCTGTCCAGGGATAAGGAATACTTTCAGGAAAGCATTTTCTTTCCAATATTCCCTCTACTTGTCTTGTTCTGGGGCCTGATCAAAAAGACCTATTGTCTTACATTTGTAAGCTCGTGAAAGCAATTTGCCTTTTTTCATACCCAACAGGGAACATTTTATCTTTGTCTTAACTTCTCAAGTTCCTCTTTCCATCTTTTTAAATTATAAACTGATTGCTTGAGAGCACAAGTCCAGGATAATGGAAGATAATAGCTTCATATAAGTGATATATCATCATTAATTTAGCTATCCTTCTATTCATGGACATTTAGATTAGTTCAAATAAGTGATAGCTATAATATCACTTGATAACTCTATTGATAACCCAGAAGGAGAATAATAAATGTGTGTGTGAATAAATATCTGAGGTTACCCGATATACTCTCGTTCCCTTTTACGCGGGATCTACGAGTGTGACAGAAAAGGAAACATAATTTTACTCACCTGACTTTGAACCTCCCAGGGCTTGGTTATAGCTGACAAGTCACATGCAGTCATCATCATTGCCCTTTGGAAGAAATAAAAATTGTTAATACAGAAAGAATTACAAAATAAGTGATTTTTGCCAAAATAGGAAAAATCTGACTACTCACATGATGATCTCTTTTTTGGTTGGATCAATGGTTATGTATTTGATGGCCTCTTCTTCAGTTTCCATTTTTTCACAGGCATCAACAATTTTTTGAAACATGGTTCTCTTCCTAAAAAAAGATACAGCTGTGCAATAGCATATAAGACCAGAGGGTAAAAAGGTATCTTTAACATGAGTTTTTCAGATCTCCTGAAACACAGCCAATGACTCTGTGGGTGTGGACCCCAAGGTAAGAAGTTACATTTTATAATATATCTGTGCATAAAGTATAGCCATATTTGCATGACTACATCTGAGACAAGCTCTACGCACACTGTACTATTCAGTTAAATTATCTTACTGCGCGTAAGCTCTATTGGGTCACCTTTCACAATGAGGTGTAAAATTGAAGATATGCAAACCCTACAGCAATTTCATTTCTAGGGAGAGTTTTTAGGAAACATTTATATCCAAGGACATACAATTTAGTATTGTGGGCAATTATGAAAAATTTGAAATAATCTAAATGTCTATGAATAGAAGGATGGCTAAATTAATTATGGTAGATGCATACAGTTGAATATACAGTTCAAACGAATTAACTGGATCTCCATTTACCACCAAGGCAAATCTTTAAAAGAAAACGTTGCATGTAAAAAGCAAGTTGCAGAAAGGTATATACAGTATGATACCATTTATGGGGAATTTTTAAATCTACTTCACAATACCATATAAAAACATGGATGGGAAGGAATACACAAATACACATCAGCCTCTGAATGGTCGTGTCTTTGAGGGAGAAAGGAGGGGTCTTTCATGGTGGAGTGTGTGTGTGTGTGTGTGTGTGAAATATCTCATTTCTATCACTTTTTTTCTCCTTTAAAAAAAAAATAAGACAGGTGTGGCAAAATTTTAGCATTTGTTGAATCTGAGTTATATTATCCTAAGTATCTGTCTTCATGTTTGAACTATCTAATATTAAATTTTTAATTAAGAAGGATCAGAGAGGCACAATTTGATACTTCCCATCAAAGTCATTAAATATTTGGATCCTATAACTTGTTCACTTTGTTCTAATCCATTTTCACCAAGCAGCTTTATGGTTCACTGACAAGAAAATGTGCATAAGCTTGAAGCATCTGGTCCTTGGTAACTATTATTATAATAAATAAGCTGGTACTCTGCTGTTTATAACTCAGAATTCTGGGAGTTTGGTTAATTTGCATCAGTATCACCAAGATTGTTCATCTCCCAGACTCCAGACCATGGTGAATTCAGGACAAAAGCCACCTCATGAGGTTGTGTGGGATCACCTGTCTGGCAATGCGACAATCTTGCTGAATATTCCTCAACTCAACCTTTTTCAGATAAACTATTTAATATTAGGGGCTTAGCTTTTAAAAGTTTCCAGATGTCTAGAAATTCACTGTCATGCATCTTGAAGGTGTTATTGATAACCCAAAAGGAGACTAATAAATGTGTGTGTGAATAAATGTCCTTCAAGTTTATTGCAATGGAACATTTATGGAAGGCAGAACCACACAGCTATAAGGAAGTTCTGTACTTACTTGAAGTATAAAGCCAGGTCAGTTGCTATTATTGCAACTTCAAACAAATGAATAACTGTTTCAAACTGGCGTTTATTTAGGTTCTGGAAGATGTTTAAACTCTGTAAGATGAACATTCACAATAAAGTGCAATCATTAATTTGCCTGTGATTCAACAAACAAACCAAACTATGCCTAAAATAAAGATTATTTACAGAGAGAAGAAAACTAGGTCTTCCACTATTTTGCTTTCAATTCTTGCATCTTGGATTAAGAAAACCTCTCTACTTTGAGTAAGTAATTTACCCATAAAAATAGATATTAGCAAATGTTCATGTAATCAGTATAAGATTTTGAAGTAAATGAAAGTGTTTTCTTCCAGGACCATTTAAACAATACTAATAGGTTTAAATATGTGCTTGCGTTAATCAAAGAGCTTTAATAAAGAATATCTGGTAGATGTCCAAGTGTTAGATATCCATGTTGAATTACCTACCATGTAATTTCAGAGTCATCACAGGAAAATTTTCAGGAACTGTGAATTACACTAGTACTCGTGTGTGTATGAAAAATAATGAAATTCTCCCAAGCTGTTCTCAAAATGTATACTTGCAATAATATTTTACAAAGACTTAACTAGGCCTTTCTTGAAAGAGTTTCCCACTAATGATCTCTTCACATATGGATTGGCTTCCTTTCTTAGTGTTCTAGAAAACTGGAGTATAAAGTTGGGAGTGGTTTCTAAAAGATCTGATATTCCAAATAGACCTTTATAGGCATACAGGCTAAAGGACAGATGTATAGTGGTTTTGCCAAATGAAATTGACTGTTATGAAATACAGGAAAAGTTCCATTGGAAAGAAAAGAGGAAATAGTATATTAACTTATGTAGAGATAGAGGCAGCATAAAACAGACTTGCAAAACCAAGACCAGCTATGGCTCTCTGTTATTCCAAGAGATTGAAAAACTAGAAAGCAAGAAATGAACAAAGAACTCAAGTTTTCTATATTATCTATACAAATAAAAGGGTAATATGGTAATTAGACTGGGAGACCTTCCTGGAGACCTTCTGGGTGTCCTTCCGGACAAAGCCATGGTGGCGGGGCTGAGGCAGAGGCAGTCAGGGGCAATCAGGCCAGGAGGGGAGGGCAGTTGGGGGTGATCAGGCCAGCAGAGGGGGCAGTTGAGGGTGATCAGGCCTGGCAGGTACAGGTGGTTAGGGGCAATGAAGGAGAGGCAGTTAGGAGTGATCAGGCAGGCAGGCGAGCGGTGAGGAGCCAGCAGTTGGCCTCAACTGGCAGTCAGGCATCCCCTAATGGGTCCCAGATTGGAGAGGGTGCAGGCTGGGCTGAGGGACACACACCCCTGTGCACGAATTTCGTGCACCGGGCCACTAGTCCTATATAATAAAAGGTTGATATGCAAATTGTCCCTACAGGCGGGAGTTCAACTGACCGGGAGTTAGACATGCACTGGCCACCAGGGGGCGGCGTGGAACATGGCAGGCATTGGCGACATGCGCTGGCAGCGGGTGGCAATGGCGGCGCTGCTGGCTCCAATGGGCCCCAACGAGAGTGGGACCACTCGGGGATGGTGGAGCTGGTAAGCAGGTGGAGTCAGGCCAAAGCGGTTGTGAGTGGGGGTCCCAACTGCCCCACCCGTCACCCTACAGATCGGCCCTGATCACTGGCCAGGCCTAGGGACCCTACTACCTATGCATGAATTTTATGCACCGGGCCTCTAGTATATGTTATATAAACCTTCACTTAAGTCATTTTTTATAACAAATTTACTAGGCTAAACACCATATAATGATAGCAGCAACTCACATAATACTGCTTACCAGGCACTATTCTAAATGCTTTATGAATATTCTTAATCTTAAAACAAACCACAGTACAGAGAGGTTAAGTAACTTGCTCACAGTTAAACAGTGAGTACACGGCAGAGCTGGAATCTAAACCTGTGCAGCATGGCATTACACTGCCTCTCAACAAGGAGCCCAGGTTCGGTTCCCATATTCACCACTTGGTAGTTGTATAATCTCGGACACGTCATTTAGCATCTGTATTTGCTTTTTCAAATGGGGATTAATAACAGCTGCCCTGCCTAACTGCCTAGCACTTAGTCTATGCTCAATAAATATTTGTGGGATGTTAACTCAAATGAGATAACTGAGAATGCATTTTAAAACCATAAATTGCTACAAAGGCCATATCATTATTCTTGTTATGTAAAGTTTTGAGGCTAGCTTCAGGTTAAAAGAGACTTGCAAACCCAAGACCAACTATGGCTCTCTGTCATTCCAGGAGATTGAAATACTAGAAAGCAAGAAATGAACAAGAACTCAAGTTTTTTATATCATATGTTATATAAGCCTTCGCTTAAGTAATCTTTTTATAAAACAAATTCTAGGACCAAAAATAGTATTTTACACAACAGTTATAAGTAGTAGAAAGGAAAGCTGTGATATTTTTTGTTAAAATAATGAGTTCATAATGGCAACTATAGTCTATTTAAATTGATAGAATGAAAAAATGGCTGTTGAACACTCCAAGAAGTACAATAAACAAAAGAAAACCTGTCTAGATCAAAATCAGTTTCTTACCTGACACAGTTGACAGCAGCCC